AATTAATACAGTGTTTTTTTTTTAAGGAAACAAACTTTTTTTTTTACTATTAAAGGGTTTTTGGAGTCTTTTACAAGGTCCATTCAGCTCCAAAACATTAAAATCAAACATAAGATTCACTTGTTGTTCAAGTGAATCTTATTTTTGATTCTAATGTTTTGGAGCTGAATCTGGGTCCTGTAGAAGGTCTGAAAACATTTTGCTAGTAAAAAAAAAAAAGAGTTTGTTTCCCTAAAAAGAGCTGTCTTTATAGACAAATAGTATTTTAAAGTCCACGCCAAATTAAATATAATACTAGATGTATACACTGTTAGACAGTGTTAAATTTTTTTTACAATGCAAGTATTTTCAATGATACAAAATCAATATCATCAGGCTAACATGTAGAATAGAACATCACTACATGCAGTAGACCTATAACATTCTGTCTTTATTGCAAATATTCATAGATAGTACCAAGTTTTACAGAAGTTTATGAGATGATTAGTTTTCATAACAAGAAAAGTGTTCATTTCTTTAACTATTCTAGTCTTCATTTGTTGTTGACAGGTATGGAGCATTTTCATTGTTGTTCAAACCAAGTAATTAAGATAGACAATTTGAAGTAACTCTATTGATTTAGAATTCAATTACAGAGTTACTACAACACAATGAAAAAAATGGTACAAAAATCAAAATATTACTGTTTGTATAAACAAATTATCCAATAGAATATATATATATATTAATTCTAATTTACTTTTCTAACTGAAAATTCTTTCATGTAACTAAAACTTCATACATTTGTATAAATGATAAAATTATACTACTGTTGGAAAGTTGTAATTATAGTAAAGACAAGTTGTCAAAATATCATATTCTATGTAATTGTAAAAGTTATGAGGTTTAAGAAATAGTAGTAATTTAATTTTTTGGAGAAATTTTTGTCAAAAAAACAATTATATGAATATCTGAAAATAAAAATATAAGCTTTATAATGAAAGTATATATAATTATCTACTGAAAATAATGAAAAAGTACAAATATATGCTATATGCTTAATATAATAGTATTAATTATTATTATTTTTTTAATAAAATACAAAAATATAGAAGATATAAAATGTCTTCAGATATCCATCTTCACAATAACCAGCAACATACAATCTTCATCTACAGAGACAACTTTTTATGGAGGCTATGTCTCTGCAATAATGCAAATTGGTTAAAACATTCTCTGGTGACACTGAACTATTTGTTTTTTAGTAATGGCATATAAAGTTGGCCAATGGTAATGTTAACCTTGTATTTAATTTTAAAGTTTGAAAGATTTAATGTAACTATGTAACTACTTAGGAGAAACAAATCTGTAACATCCCTATAACAGGGTTTCCCTATTAAAATAGAATTAAATTTTATTTGACATGGTAATTGGATTTATTAAATCCAATTTCTCTAAAATATATCTTTCATTCTATTTTTAACATTTCACTCTGAATATTAACAAATATTTTTATATATCTATCATTCCATGATAAATATCTAAAAAATAGGTTTGTGTAATGATTATATCTATTTTCTCTCTTGTAATATGACAAGAGAGTAAATATATATAATCATTACACAAACCTATTTTTCTCATATTCATACTGAGATAATGTATTTCATTGAAAATAGAATTGCTTTCTTGAACTTTAAGAACTTTTAATATTGGCATTCTAGCATTTTCAAACAAGTGATGCTGAAATACATATAGAAATAACTTATGTAAATCATTAAAATTAGCATTTCAGGTTTTTAAATCCCAAGAAAACATAATTTATCTAAAAATAAAACTATTTGTGATAATGTATATCATTCAAGATTTATTATAAGAACAGAATGAAAATTTGGTAGAGTTAAAAAAATAATAATAAAAATTTCTTGTTAAAGAAGCCGAAATTAAGGACTTTATTAGAAACATTTTTGGTCTATTGTTTAATGTAGTTAGCTAAAGTTTGCTGTAAAGTAGGCTAAAAATGTTCCTAATAAAGTCCTTAATTTTGGCTTTCTTATAAGTAGTTTGAATTTCATTTCTATGCATTATAAGAATCATATACAAACTCAGCAATTTTGATTAAAAAGTGTATTATTGCTAAATCCTGTCAAAAAGCAAATATTTTAAAATTTCATTTCAATGTATGTTTTGATTTTTAAAAAGTTATATAATTTTTCATATAAATAAAAAATATTTAAGATTATTAGTTTTGGCATAGTTTTGACAAGGTAAAAAAGAAAAAACCTAAAAAGTTTTAAAGAAATTTTTAAAAATAGGAATATATCTCAAATTACTGTAATTTTCCTGATCAAATAAATTCATCTTTTAAAAATAAATTATTAAAACAGAAGAAAATATTTAATTATAATAAATAAATAAATCTGATTTCTGTTATATAGCTGATTTATAATTTTCTCATAAGTCAGATATTCAAAGTAAAATTTTAAAACAAATATTTATTTATTAAAATTATTAGTTTAATATTCAATATTTCATTTAAAACAATTTATTTTATATTTTATCATTTTAAAATTAATAAACTATTATCAAAATCATTTTTTTTAAATCAATACCTTTGGTTACTGGTGGAACTTCTGCTTCAGGTGGTTTTTCTGCAGAATCTGGTTTTATATTTGTGCAGTCTGTTAATAGAGATGATCGACTAACCTAAAAATTTATTATTATTATTATTATAAAGTATACACTGTTAGACAGTGTTAAATTTTTTTTACAATGCAAGTATTTTCAATGATACAAAATCAATATCATCAGGCTAACATGTAGAATAGAACATCACTACATGCAGTAGACCTATAACATTCTGTCTTTATTGCAAATATTCATAGATAGTACCAAGTTTTACAGAAGTTTATGAGATGATTAGTTTTCATAACAAGAAAAGTGTTCATTTCTTTAACTATTCTAGTCTTCATTTGTTGTTGACAGGTATGGAGCATTTTCATTGTTGTTCAAACCAAGTAATTAAGATAGACAATTTGAAGTAACTCTATTGATTTAGAATTCAATTACAGAGTTACTACAACACAATGAAAAAAATGGTACAAAAATCAAAATATTACTGTTTGTATAAACAAATTATCCAATAGAATATATATATATATTAATTCTAATTTACTTTTCTAACTGAAAATTCTTTCATGTAACTAAAACTTCATACATTTGTATAAATGATAAAATTATACTACTGTTGGAAAGTTGTAATTATAGTAAAGACAAGTTGTCAAAATATCATATTCTACGTAATTGTAAAAGTTGTGAGGTTTAAGAAAAAGTAGTAATTTAATTTTTTGGAGAAATTTTTGTCAAAAAAACAATTATATGAATATCTGAAAATAAAAATATAAGCTTTATAATGAAAGTATATATAATTATCTACTGAAAATAATGAAAAAGTACAAATATATGCTATATGCTTAATATAATAGTATTAATTATTATTATTTTTTTAATAAAATACAAAAATATAGAAGATATAAAATGTCTTCAGATATCCATCTTCACAATAACCAGCAACATACAATCTTCATCTACAGAGACAACTTTTTATGGAGGCTATGTCTCTGCAATAATGCAAATTGGTTAAAACATTCTCTGGTGACACTGAACTATTTGTTTTTTAGTAATGGCACATAAAGTTGGCCAATGGTAATGTTAACCTTGTATTTAATTTTAAAGTTTGAAAGATTTCATGTAACTATGTAACTGCATAGGAGAAACAAATCTGTAACATCCCTATAACAGGGTTTCCCTATTACAATAGAATTAAATTTTATTTGACATGGTAATTGGATTTATTAAATCCAATTTCTCTAAAATATATCTTTCATTCTATTTTTAACATTTCACTCTGAATATTAACAAATATTTTTATATATCTATCATTCCATGATAAATATCTAAAAAATAGGTTTGTGTAATGATTATATCTATTTTCTCTCTTGTAATATGACAAGAGAGTAAATATATATAATCATTACACAAACCTATTTTTCTCATATTCATACTGAGATAATGTATTTCATTGAAAATAGAATTGCTTTCTTGAACTTTAAGAACTTTTAATATTGGCATTCTAGCATTTTGAAACAAGTGATGCAGAAATACATATAGAAATAACTTATGTAAATCATTGAAATTAGCATTTCAGGTTTTTAAATCCCAAGAAAACATAATTTATCTAAAAATAAAACTATTTGTGATAATGTATATCATTCAAGATTTATTATAAGAACAGAATGAAAATTTGGTAGAGTTAAAAAAATAATAATAAAAATTTCTTGTTAAAGAAGCCGAAATTAAGGACTTTATTAGAAACATTTTTGGTCTATTGTTTAATGTAGTTAGCTAAAGTTTGCTGTAAAGTAGGCTAAAAATGTTCCTAATAAAGTCCTTAATTTTGGCTTTCTTATAAGTAGTTTGAATTTCATTTCTATGCATTATAAGAATCATATACAAACTCAGCAATTTTGATTAAAAAGTGTATTATTGCTAAATCCTGTCAAAAAGCAAATATTTTAAAATTTCATTTCAATGTATGTTTTGATTTTTAAAAAGTTATATAATTTTTCATATAAATAAAAAATATTTAAGATTATTAGTTTTGGCATAGTTTTGACAAGGTAAAAAAGAAAAAACCTAAAAAGTTTTAAAGAAATTTTTAAAAATAGGAATATATCTCAAATTACTGTAATTTTCCTGATCAAATAAATTCATCTTTTAAAAATAAATTATTAAAACAGAAGAAAATATTTAATTATAATAAATAAATAAATCTGATTTCTGTTATATAGCTGATTTATAATTTTCTCATAAGTCAGATATTCAAAGTAAAATTTTAAAACAAATATTTATTTATTAAAATTATTAGTTTAATATTCAATATTTCATTTAAAACAATTTATTTTATATTTTATCATTTTAAAATTAATAAACTATTATCAAAATCATTTTTTTTAAATCAATACCTTTGGTTACTGGTGGAACTTCTGCTTCAGGTGGTTTTTCTGCAGAATCTGGTTTTATATTTGTGCAGTCTGTTAATAGAGATGATCGACTAACCTAAAAATTTATTATTATTATTATTATAAAAAAATTCATTAAGATAAAATGTGAAAGTTTAATATAAATATTTTATTTTGTAATACAGTTAAAGTTCATTAATCTGAGTTCCTCTGAAAAGTAGCCAATAATCCAAAGTGGACCTGTAGTAACCTAGCATGCAAATGCTAGGTTACTACAGGTCCACTGTCGGGGTACAGTGATACCCCGAACTTACGCGATAGGTGGGACCGAGTGCTAACCGCGTAAGTCAGGGTATAATTTTGCAATTTGTCTAAAATCCAAGTCGGATGTATGTAAGCTAATAAATGTTCTCGTTAATCTTATCTCGTCTTTTGATTTATTCACGGTTACAAGAGTCTCTTGAGTCTCCGTAGATATAACAAACACAGAAATAAATAACACAAAATAAATTGTAGCTATGTGTTGATTCCATGCAACACATCCGAACATGTAAGCCGAAGAATAGTGTGGGGGGAGTGAGTAATCAAGAGCTGCGTGGTGGTCAAAAAAAAAACAAATCAACGAGATTTGAAAATCGCGTAACTCCAGGTTCGCATAAGTCGGGGTAGCATAAGTCGAGGTATTACTGTATTCTGCTTATCAGAATGGACATATGTCACATTAAAGACTCCAGCAGATTTTTCAATCTTATCATGGTCATGTATTCTAGGTATAGTCATGTATTCTATCATTGTCAAACTGATTAAACAGTGTGCATAAACAAATTGAAAACATACAGCAGTATGTGCTAGTACAAAATACATAGTAATAATTGTAATGTTCAAACAACATAATTTATCAAATTTTTGCAAAAATACAAAATTATCTGTAATCTGGCAATTTTGATATTCCAATACCACTCTGGTCCCACAGGTGTCAGATTAACTAACTTCTACTGCAATTATTTTATATATTTTATATTAAAATTATAAAATTGCTCTTCTTCAAAGATTCTGAAGAATGAATGCTTAAAATGACCAAACAAAATAAATAATTAGCATACATAACAAAATGCTTAATGAAATGATGTTGTTAAAAATTTTCTATAAAAGTATTATAAAATTTAAAGTTTTTAAGCAATAATTTAAAAATTTTTAGTTCTTTTAATCATTTACACAAAATCAGACAAACTACATACATGAATATATAGAAAACCAAGCTTGAATTATAGTGATAATCAAATGATATGACTAGATTGATTACTGGGCTAGGAACTTGACTAATTAACTATAAATATATGAAAGTCCAAATTACTTGTGGGTTTGAGTGCTCTCCAGATCAATCTATTCTTCCAGATTAGAAATAAATTAGTTAATTGAGACTAATTATTAAAATTTAATACAAGATGGCAGCCTGACTGCCTATCTACAGTCCTGCTTAATTACTTAACTCCCCTTTAGGCATGTAGAGTTTTAACAGCTCACTTGGGGCATTGTATCTGCAAGATGCATAATGCAAATTAATGCAATTTTTTTATTTTTACAGATATTTATATGCTTGACTATGATTATATCTTCAATTTCTACATTTTCTCTACGATCTAACAGTATAAAATACTTGTGGGTTTAAAAAAAAATGGGATTTTTATTAATATTTTCTGTAATTTGATCTGTAAATGCAAAAAACTAACTAATTTCAACTCACTATAAATCATTTCAACTTTCACTTATTGACATCAGATTTGTTAAATTTCATAGGATTATATCATCTTTTAACTTCAGTCTAGTAAAGCTTTGTTTATTGTCTTCCACTAAAGTAATAGACTATGCCAGTCCCCCCACTGTGAAAGGCAACAAACTGCTAATAATTTTATTATTTTGTTTTCAAAAACTCCCTTCTCTGTCAGTAGTGAATCAAATAAATAACAAATTGTTTTCTTGCACTCAGGGAAATGTTTTCTTTTAGATTTAACCACTAGTATTACCAGTAATAAATTCTATAATTTTATTTTTAATAATTTAAAAAATATTAATTAGCAAATAAATGTTTGGGTCACAATTTCTAAATGGTATTGCTACATAATGAATATAAATTTTAATTGTTGCAAAATTGAAAGTATTAAATTTCTTATCATGCTCTGATTTCCAGAAAGCAGACTGATAACACCAAAGTGAAAAAATCTTGTTGTCAGAAATAACTGCAATGACTTATTTGAAATAAATTGGGATTGGTTTGATCATTGAAACCAGGAGAAAAAGATAGAATGTGTAGCATTGTGGTAAAGTTTAAATATTCTATATTGTTATTTTATCGAATCACAATTGTTATGTGAAACAATCGAGAGTACAGTACTCTCACACTGCAAGAGAATTTACTGCAGGTAGTAGCAAGGTATTGCTTTTCATAAAATTTCTCTGAAAAAAAGGTCATAAACTTGAAAACCACTGTAGGAATTACTTCAGAACATCAGTTGAAGAAATGTAACATTAAGCATGAGGAATATAGAGTATCGTATTTTCCATGCACCTTTAGCAATCCACTATCCAATCATGTATCTATGTTATGTTGACGATATATAAAATTATTTTTTGACAAGATCACATAACACCTCATTTTTGCCAAGGAAACAGTTTTTAATCACAAATGTTTTCAGCTTGTTCAACAAACCATCCTCAAGTGTTGAATTACATTCTATCATTAGAATATAATTCAACACTTGAGGATGGTTTGTTAAACAAGCTGAAAACATTTGTGATTAAAAACTGTTTTATTGGCNGCTATTAACCTACTTTGCGTTGAATTTTCATCGATGTTAAGCCTAACAAAAATTTTTTAAAATAATAATCGTCGTTATTGTATCGTTAAAAATTAGAAAATTAAGCCTCGTTTAAATACTGGCCCCCTTTCATGGTCAAATGAGTGTTGCCAGCTAAAACACGTAAAAATAATATTAAAGTAGCCAAAACATGACCAAATATTGTAGTGCCACATCACTAGCGGACATTTGAAATTTGCCGACTAGGATGGTCGGTTAACCAAGGTGTCGGTTAATCGGGGGTCAGATAATCGAGGCTCTAATGTACATGAAAAATTTTCTGAAAGTATTCAGATACAAGTATATTTTAATAAAAGTTTTGTTCCTCCAGTTTGATCAACCTTCCTTTAACAAATGCTAATAAGTCTGGGTGCTCAATGTACAACTTATTCTTTGACATTCAAAAATTAAGAACCTTGAAAGCCTGGAAAATTTTCAATACAGCAATCAACAGGAATTGCATTTATAGTAAAGACTGAATGATATGTGCCACATGGCAGTCACTGGTTATTAAAGGAAAGCAAATGAACAAGAATAGAGCAGGATGATACTATATGTATATAAGGTATCGTAGTATGTGCATTTATCTTTTTATATAAAATTATTAAAGGTGCATGGAAAATACGATACTCTATATTCCTCATGATGAACTCTGCCAAAATGGGTGACAAGGGGAACCCATTGGTACACCTTGGCTTTGTTTGTATATTTTGCCATTAAATTGAAAATAATTATTTTCTGTGACAAGTAAGAGTGCCTCTTGCAAGTGTAATACATTTAATGTAGGGTAACCAGAGCTCAGTAGTAGTGCATTTACAAGCATGACAGCTTCAAAATGTGGTACCGATAGATATAGGGAAAAACATCTATTTTGTACAGCCAGTACGAATGAGTGGGAAGGTTATTTAATTTAGCTAATATGTTAGATTTAGCATCCAAAAGAGCTTTGGTTACAAAGTCAGAGGGTGAAACCAAAGCTGAGATGTGTTTTTCTAGTGCTGTCTCAAGGAAATAAGGTTTGTAAGGAGCATTTGTTAATCAACGGTCTTAACCTTCCCACTCACTTGTACTGGCTGTACAAAATAGATGTAATTTCCCTATATCCATCGGTACCACATTTTGAAGCCGTCATGCTTGTAAATGCACTACTACTGAACTCTGGTTACCCTACATCACATGTGTTACATTTGTGAGAGGCCCTCTTACTTGTCACAGAAAATAATTATTTTCAATTTAATGGCAAAATATACAAACAAACCCAAGGTGTACCAATGGGTTCCCCCTTGTCACCCATTTTGGCAGAGTTCATCATGAGGAATATAGAGTATCGTATTTTCCATGCACCTTTAGCAATCCACTATCCAATCATGTATCTATGTTATGTTGACGATATATAAAATTATTTTTCGACAAGATCACATAACACCTCATTTTTGCCAAGGAAACAGTTTTTAATCACAAATGTTTTCAGCTTGTTCAACAAACCATCCTCAAGTGTTGAATTACATTCTATCATTAGAATATAATTCAACACTTGAGGATGGTTTGTTAAACAAGCTGAAAACATTTGTGATTAAAAACTGTTTTATTGGCAAAAATAAAGTGGTGTATGTGATTTTAAGTTACTGCTGAGGATGTGTTTTTTAAGTAATTTCATATATTTAATTTTTATTGTAAAATATATGTAGAATGTAACACATTTGTTAAGCATTCAAACAAGATGACATCAAAAGAATATATTCGTAAAAAACGTTCTAGATTTAGAATCCTGCTAACATTCTGTAATGATCAATGCATGCTTGATGCAGGCCCCTGAAAGAGGCTGAAAATGTTCCGTTTTTTATTTGATTCCAATACATATTATTTGCCGAAAGACTGTATATATGGTGTTTAGTTTTAATTTATGTACATTCTAGCATTTGGAGACATATGTTCCATCTCTCACCATCTGACCCATACGGATCTGAAAGAATCTGTGATGGATATATAAAAAAAAATATGTTTGAAAGTAATTTTTTGTATTTTATTTGTATCTGATATAAATACTTGGATTAAAAGTTGACATTTAAATTACTTTAAAAATAATTGTAAATTTAAAAATGATTATGAAGTTTAATATTTTTAAAATAGAAAAAACTACTTACATATTATTTAACCTGATAATGTCAAATTATTTTATTAAATAAGTATTTTCTATTAATAAGCAATAAAATAAGTAATATAAACCTTTCTTTTTATAAACTTTCATGTTTGCTTTAAAATAAAGTGAAATAATTATATGAAAAAACTTTTTCCCAACACTTAATAAAAATCTGGAAGGATACGATCATATCTTTCCCCTGATTCACTTCCTTTCAGAGGTGACACAGCTTCCTAGTGTGTCACCCGGAATCTATGACAAAAATTCAACCATTGGACGATTGTAGAAAAACTCCTAATAAGGCCATGGGAAAAACCCAGGACAGACCCCTAATAAAAAAGAGGGGGTTGATGAGTCAGACAGAGTCATCCAGTTATTATTAACTATGTGTATGTGACCAGCCGCTCGCCATTCGTCGCCGCCATCACTGTTCCTAGCAGTCGCCATTCCGAAGGAATCACTGCCGCTCCAGAAGAAATGACTCTCCATGTGTGAAAGTTCCAAATAGAATTCTATGAATTCTAAAGTATTTATCCTTTATGCTTAATGTGCACTCTCACTCTCGTTGTCAGGGTTGTACTAGTTACACTATATGTCATATTATTAGCATTCGCTAAGCATCTGTATACAGCTTGTAAATAGTCAATATCGATTAATAAATGGGTATTTTTGTTATATGATAACTTGTGGAGTGTACTTCTGGTTCTCTCCTTCCGCCTCCATTCCGGGGCCAAAAGTCCGCGAATGTGACCACTCATGCAAAAATGTGTTGTAACGGCTGTTGAAGTTCCATGTCTGGAGGATGCAGTGGTATCATCCTGACAAGGTGCCAAAGAGGTGCCGATCCTGCGGTCACACATATCAAGCATATTATGTATGCTTTTTAAGTTTTGTAAAAAATTTAATGCTATATAAACAGTAAAAAATACTCTTACTGTATGGGGAAGATGCTCCTAAATGTCAGACATGTCAAATGTTGTTTTAAAAGTTTTGTTTGGGAAATTTTGAACTAAAGGTTACAAAAATGTATTGAGCTCCTGAAAGCTGTTGACAAAGAGAAATTTCAAGAAAAAATTGTTAAAAATTGATTAATAACAAATTAATTTGCAACAAATCTTAGTGTGTCATCGACTTGACGGTTGTGTTCCACATGCATAAATTAAAAAAAAAAAAACAAAACAAAAACAAAAACAAACTGGATTGAGTATAATTTTGTCTGATGAAGGTAGGCAGCTCTAAGATTTCATTTTATTTTTAAATTAGTTATACATTTTTATCATAGAAAACTGTTCTTATGGATAAAAATAATTGTTGTTAACAGTTAACAACAATTATTTTATCCATAAGAACAGTTATTATAATTAATAACAACAGCTAACAAAATAAAGATTTTTGTTGTTAACTGAAAATTTATTTTATTGGGTCTTGATTGTTTGGATGAGTACCACTGTATTTGATCAACATGATTTTGATATACACAGTAGTATCAAGAGATTAACGGATAAATTAATCATATTAATCAGGAGATACCTGTATTGGCAGTTTAAAAATTTATTTTTCATAAAATTATTTTAACATAACACAAAAATAAATATTGTGTTTAATAAATTAACAATTTAATATTACCATACTTACAGGAAATGGATCAGGGCCTTCCAATATAACATATCCATCAATCACATGTGTTAAAATGTGAGGTTTAACTATCGCTTTTTGTGGTTGTTTTTCTTTAGAAATGACATCAGAATGAGGAATGGCAACAGTGTCTTCTTCTTTTCTTGGCTTTTCTAATGGTTCTGGTTCAACTGTGGCTACATCTTTTAATGATGGACTAACATCAACTACAGGAACAGGGTCAACTTCCATATTTGTCTCTGGTACATTATTATTAGTTATTACAGGGGTTTCAGGAAAAGATTTTACATCTGTATTTGTGGGTTTTGGCAAAACATTAACTGCTGATATAGGTGAGATATGTTGCTTTGCTAACACAACCTGTTGTCCAGTTTCTGTAGCTACTGACTTACTTTGAGTTGCAGTACTTTTCATTTCTGGAGTTGGTTTTGTTTGATTAGCAGCATCAGCTTTTTGATGTTGAAGTGGAGGTGTTTGTGTTTGTATTGTAACTGTTTGTGGAGGAGGCAGCTGCAAACCAGCAGGAGAGCTTCTGTTATTCTGACCACGTGAACGTTGTTTTGCCTGATTAAAGAATGTTTTAAGTTTAAAAATCAATAATCATATATAAATAATTTAAAAGATTATTATTCTTATTCTTTAAGTTTTATAATACATTTATCTTATTGTTTAGTAAATTGAGATTTAATAAATTTTAATAGATTAGAATTAATTGATATATTGTATAGTAATTATTTTTAAAATTAAATATAAATTATTGTATTTAATATATTTAAAATATTTTATAAATAAATATTTCTTAATGGTAAATTATTTGAGAAATTTATGTGTGTGTGTGTGTGCAATGTTTAATATAAGAAATTAAGTTTATATGGGAATTGAAGCGAATAAGCTCATTAATATATTGATATGGTGTTACAGAACAATAATTGTATGACGTTTAAATGCTATCAAGACTTGATTTAAGCTAAACTATAACATATAGCAAGCCCTTCTCTTCTATCAAATAATAATAATGGTAGTTATATATATATATATAAGGCCCTAAGCTATGGTTTATAACGTGAGACCCTAAACTGCAGTTTGTTTACCTTACGTGCAAATTTTGCCCTGAATGACTATGTATTATAACAATGGATAATATGCATAATTATCGAAAATACAGATGTGAATAAATATTTTAGGGATATTCGGAAACTATAGACAATAACTAAGTGTAATATTGTTTAATTTTTATATTAATTTATAGTATTTGATAATTTACACTAATTGAATCACTGATGTGATCACATTTTTTTCATTAAATGGAACATTATTACTAGAACATAACATAAAACAATCAACATATCCGATCATCGAATTATTCTATACGTTATTAAATTATAATATAACTTTCCTTTCTTATAAATAATCTTAGAAAAGTTTGAACTTTCGACATTTTGAATCAGTTGTAAATATAAGAGAGATCAAATTATATTTATGAAAAGTGTAATATTTGCATTACATGATTTATAAATATTACATTTAATTAAATATTATCTTTATTTAGATTTATTTATTTTATCTTTTTCATATCATGTCAACAATCTTTTCCTCTATGACAATCTAATCCATCTTTTATGTGAAGATGCGATGGAAAAAGCTATAAATATATAATGATTTATTTATTGTATCTTCATTTCTGCAAAAGAAACTTAATAATAAATTGAATATTTTAACAATGTTTATTTAGTTATTAATATGGAAGATGTATTAATTTATCACAAAAAGTTATATAAGATATATATACAAGTCGAACCTCCAATGACGGCTTCTTCAACCCTCCAAACAACAGTCAATCATTAAACAGAGACGATTTTGGGAGGGAGAACAAAAATTCCTACGAAATAACCTTCTAACGATGGTCGTTTTTATGTTCTTATCAGTGACAGTTGTTCAGAGGTATGAGTGCATTTGATTATCAAGATCTAATTGTTAATCAAAGACACTCAAAATTCTCTTTCAGGTTATAATTTCCCTATTTTATACAATTAATGATAAAAATTATGAGAAAATTTACAATATTATTAATTATATTTTAATCTGTTAAAGTTTTTATAAAGTACTAGCTGCAAGGACTCGCTTCGCTGGGTTTTTATTTGTATGTAATATAGTTTTTTATATATATATATAAAAGACTGTTTTTCTAAGTAATCTAGAATCTAGCTGCAAGGACCCGCTTCGCTGGG